ATTAAAGCCAACTGTTTGTTCTTATCTGTCCCTTCAGTTATACTGTAAGCTCCTTGAGGCCAGAACATATATCATATTCATCCTCGTGTCTGTAGTTAACATCTCAGTTCTTGCCAAGCAGTAGGCCCTCAATAAGTGGAGACTGAATTATACTCCAAAGAAATTAGATTATGGGAGCCTCAGAGATGTAGTTCTCCTTTCAGTTAAGTCTGCATCTTGATTGATTTAAAGAAGGTCATTTCCTAAGACAAGGGTTCCTCTTCTGCTTTTGAAGTACCCATCCAGCAGTCCAAGATCATAGAGTGCCCTAACTTCCATCGACCCAGGCACACTTAAACGATGCAGTATTCTTCCATATAGATAGTAATCTATATCACCATGTTACTCTTCCTAGATAACACTGATGAGCCCCCACAAGAATACATTTGAAAGTTTATTTTTTACCCAATAATGATGACTTTTCCCTATTGATTTAGTCATTCACTTTAATTGATCTGTCTGGCCATAAGTGAAGAGAAAGCTAAAAGTGCCAGGATTTTTAATTGTAGACTTGGAAATTTGTGAAATAAATTTATCTTCGCAGACTACCTGATCTATTCACAGACTACGGTGACAAAAAAACAAAAGCATATGGATACACAAACTTTCTCTCTGGTGACAAAAAGATTGAATATGGGTAAAGAGGAAGTATAAGAAACTGTAAGTTTATCTCCACTGTTTTGCTTGCAGAAACTAAAATCTGTTTTTAGAACTATTTTTCAATGAACTGTCTATTAAAAGTTAAAATGAAAGTGTCCATGGTACACAGTTACCATGAAAGAAACTTATATTGTATGAAGAATTTATAATAAAAATTAAGCAAAAAAATGTTTAAGAATTTTTAGGTGAATTGGCAACAGTTAAAATTTAAAAATATTTCCCAAGCTTTAACCTGAAGGTGGGAAAGAATAAGCAGAAAAACACCACATTCAACTATGATGGTTATAGGACTAAGCATTCCCTGAGGAAGGTGCAGATTTTTATTTCATTTCATTTTCACTTTTCTCAAATGAAGTTCTCCCTTATTACCTTATTAAAATAAAAGGAAATACTGATATTTATTTTATAGAAAGACATACAACATGAGACAAGAGACCTGGATTCTAATTCTGTTTCTATTATTTACTTAAGAAACTTGAGTAAGTTAGTTATTAGTGAAATGATGGAAATGGAATGCCCTCTACATCCTCTAATTAATGTCTAAATTCTGTGATTCCTTATATTAAGAATGCCACTCATTTCATTGCAGCTATTTGAATAAAAATGGTTTTTGCACAGTCCCATGTACAATCACATAATCTAAATGTTTCTTTCCTGTAGAAATTTAATTGTACATGAGAGTTGATCTTATGAGAGTATCACTTTGATAGCATTGTTGTAAAACTTTGATTGAAACATTATACTAGTTTTGAAATATTTGTTTTGCTTATTTGCTCTTTGAGAATGTTTTTTTTTGTAATAGTCCATGCACTATAGAATAAAGAGAAAACAAAGCCGTCCCTAAAGTATATAATATATCATACTTACAAGTACAATTTGAGGATGATTTTGAATTAATAAAATTTGAAGCATTTTATAATATACAAACTCTAGTAAATTTGTAAATAAAAATATAAAAATCAATAACATTGAATAATACATCCACAAATGTATATAGGAAAATACGATATATATTTATTAAGCTATGAAGTATGTAATTATCCCTCCACTAAATATTTTTGCCTTCATAAGACAAGAAAAACACATGGATCTTTAGCTAACATTGTAATTTTAGGTTTGTGTGAGTATGTGTGTTTTCCTTCTCAAGGTTTTTTTTTTTTTTTTAATTTGTCCAGAATTTTATTTAGGTAGATTAGTTTACACAAAGTAATTTACCTGTAATCCCATGGGTTTTACTGACTAAAATGAATGCATCATTTAATTTTTTAAAATATATTTTCATTGCTGTAAGTAAGATATTTCTTAAAATTCAAGTTGAAAAACAGCTGTTATCTCAAATACCAGAATAATAGAACTTGTAGTCACCTTTACTTGTGTAAAAAATTTAAGCAAGTGTCCATAGGTTTTTATCTTTTCTATTTCTCTCTTCCTGCCTGATTTCCCTTCTTCAGCCCACCCTTTTCACCACACACAAGACAAAAAAATGGTTTCATTCACATGGCACATTCAACTAATTGCAGCCTATTGATGAAATAATCTATATCATTTCCACAATTTTAAATTACTTTACCACTGTAAACACTTAATTTAGACCTATCCCATCCTCTAGGTGGCATATAGTTATGAGTATTATAAGATACAACTTAATGATACTCAAAGATTATGCCATTCAAATATTGGTATGTCTTGTCTCCCCAAGTGTTATATTTAACTGTTTTACATAGCCTTAATAATGACAATGACATTAAATTTAGGCTGATCTTCAGTTCCAGCTCACCAAGAGTTCTTAATAAAAATTCCTCTGTAATTTATGGCAGATTAATTATTTGCATTCTCATAGACAATTCTGAGACCATTTTAATATTACATGTATACAAGCACACATCCTTACAAAAGCAATGATGAGACATTTCTGGTATTGTTTAGAACTTGACAATTATGATTATGTGAGCACATATTGTCTTGAACTTGTCATTTACATGATTATGGGCAATAATTGATCAATGTCAGCATTGCTCTTCATTTTCCCTTTTGTTCAATCAAGATATATCTTTTCCAATACAGATTCACTATTGTTGGACATATTGCATATACTAAGCACTCCACTGTCATCCAAAGTGGAAAAGCATTTAGAGAAAAAAAATTAAATATTTTGATTCAGCTCATAACTTATCTATTAACTATCCATCTGATATGACCAATGTGAATATTTGCAGTAATTGTAAGCTTAATACTTAGTTTTGAATATACTTCTTAGTCAATAACTAAATTTTACCAACTAAGATTTCTGAATTTAGAAAACCAACAATAAAGTCATCACTCATAGGCCCTCCTGACTTTAGATGTGGCTCTCCACATTTACCTAAAAACACCCCTTGTCAGTGACTTGCTCATTGCATTTCTGCCTAAATCTACAAACAAACAAACAAACAGAGAGAGAGAGAGAGAGAGAGAGAGAGAGAGAGAGAAATAAAGGCTTGGATACAGTTTGAGTTAAAACAAAATTGCCAAAATTCTTGATATTTAGGGGAAGGCAAGATTTTAAGGCAATTCTTACCAAATTCTCTAGATAATTGCTCAACTCCCCCCTTCTATTTCTCATATAGGAAGAGACTGGCTCATTTAAAGTAAGGAAGCACACATCCTTCTCCATCTACTGTGAGAGCAAGAATGACAATTTAATTCCTATTTTCTTAAAATTTTTTAAAATAACAATAATATTATTACCAGAAAATTTGTATCCACACACTGCATACTCAAATGTGGCACCTTTTAAAGTTTCTAACATTTATTTCTGAATGCTCTTATCTGCATTGCTTAGAACACAAGCCCTATGACCAAGAGTTCTATAGAGTAATGCTGAAATATGCTGAAATATTCGGTAAAATATGCTGAAATTAATACCATGTCATCACTTCTTTAAAAAACTAAATCATAAATTGTGTGGGGGTAGTTTTGTTTTGAAGGTTTCAATGCAGGGAGAATCAGGAGTACAAATTTTAGCATTTAAATGGTCTCTCCCTGTGCTCACTCATTCCTTCACCTCCCTTGCTCATATTCATTCACTGAACACAACTTCCTTTTTTCTCTCAAGCTAATTAAAAAATACTAAAACGTTAAACATGGTTTCTCAAGAAAGGGCTGCTGCCCAAAGAAAACTTCTACAGAAAGACTGTGTGGAAGCTAAGATACTACACAACACCAGAAGCACCCAGATAGTGCAGCAGCTTTTTAGTACGTTTTCTGATCCTACTATGTCCCTCTGCTAGCTACTAAATCTAAAGAAAAGTAAGGGCTTTGGCTTATTGCAAATTAAAAGATTTCAAAAGGTGAGTTCGGTGCTACTCCATTCTCCTTTAAGAAAAAAGCTTCTTATTCTCAAGAGTTGAAGAGATTTTGATAGTGCTGTTGCTGAAGGAGATCTATCACCCAGTCAGGTGCATGGTTCTCAACCTGGAACTAAGACCGATTCCGGAAGAACAGGTAAATAGGGGCGTTCCTTCTTATCCGCTGAGGTGTCTCTAAATGAATACAACGAGTCTGAGCTATGTAAACGGTTGTGCTCTTTTAAAACAACAATAGCAAAAAGTTCAGTCGCAAAAGGTTTTTTTGTCTGTCTTTTTTCATGCTTGATCATACCCTAAACAGCCCAGGTGCCGAGAAACACACAAAGTAACTGTACACAAGCCAGGATCACCGCGCGTCTGTGTCAATTTCCCGAGATGACTGTCGGAAAAGCTGGAGAGGCACCATCGTGTCGAGGGAATGAGGTCAGAATTCACTGGGAAGACCATTTGCTCTGCGAAGGAATACGGCGGGACAGTGCGGGCTCGGGAGCCAGGCTTTGGAAAAGGAGGGAAGGTGGGTCAGGGGCGGACTTTGTGGAGAAGGCTTTGTCAGTGCGAGACCGGTGAAGAGTGGCAGATGGGGGCGTTTGCAGGCTGGCAGAAGCGGGAAATCAGAAGGGGGAAACGTGGGGACAGAGAGGACAGAGAGGACCTTGTTTGGGGTAGCAGGAGGGTCGGAGCCATCTACTGCTGCTGCTAGTGTGAGAGCTCCGGAACTGGAAGGTGAGGCAAGATCGTGGGCTGCCCAGGAGGGAGAGGGGTTCAGGTTGCCAGCAGGTGGAGTTGAATAAAACAACCCCTCGGGGACTACACTCCCGAGACACACTCCCGAGACCACCTGCCTAGAGGTTGAGGAATCACAGCCGGTGGTTTGGGGTACCCTCTTAAGCCAAAAGATGTTTTCTCGGCTCCCAGCCTTTGAGCCCGACCCCCTGAGCTTTCCAAGCTACTCACCGGTCCTGAGAGGAAAGCGCCATGCGGGCGCGCGCGAGGGCTGCGCGGCGCAGGCGGCATGCAGGGCCGGGAGGCGGCGGCGGCGCTGTCCTAGGAGCGGGACTGGATCCCGGGGACTCAGAGGTGGCGGTAGCGGCGGCGGGGGCGCAGGGAGCTGCAGGCGGGGAGGGCAGTGGATCCCGAGCTGCTGCGCCGCGCGCGCTCTCTGCCCATCTCCGGATCCGCTAAAGCGGCTACTGCTGCTGCCGCTGGAGGGGAGGGAGACGAGGGGGAGGGGAGGAGACACGAGGCTGGGAGGGAGGGAGGGAGAGAGGGAGGAAGGGATGGAGGAGAGAGAGGAAGGGTGGAAGGCGGAGAGTGGGGAAAAGGGGAGACGATCACCCAGAGAGGAGAAGAGGGAGGGAGAGGCGCGTAGGAGCCCATCAAAGGTTCCCACCAGAAGAGCTCATAGAGGAGAAATTCAAGATGAGGACATGGGTCTCTCCCCCTCCCCCACCTCCCTTCCCCTCTTTCTCCCTTCGCGCCCTTTCCTTGGGCCCTTCCTCCCAAGGCTTAGTCTGGGGTTACCCAGGCTCGGCAGCAGCCGGGGCTTCTGCGTCCTGGAGAGGTTACTAGAGGTTACTTCTGCGTCCTAGAGTCGGCCGCGACAGCTCTCAGCGCCACTGGCTTGAGGCACCTGTGCGCGCACACACCGCCGACCACTCCATTGCGGTGGCTCCCGGGTGGGAACCTGCGGGCCCTTGCTCTCTTTCTTTCCCCTTTCTGGTCAGATTATAATCATGATTGTGCATCCGTGACATCTGTGCCATCCCTCTACTGCTGTCTGCTTCTCTGGGCGCTCTTTGGCACAAAGTGTCCGGCCAGAAGGCGCCAGCAGGGAGCTCGATGCAGGCCACCATCTCCTGTCCCTTGGAGCTGCCGCCTGGACAGAGGTGGCGGTGTTTGTTTGCCATCCGGGTAGACCATCTAAAGAAGTAAAAAAAAAAAAAAGTCCTATGACCTGATTTCCTGGGACCATGTTCTCAGTGACCTAGGATGGCTGTAAGTGCGAAGGGCACAGGGCAGGCAGTCTGTTACCTTCTACCTTGGTTCTCCTCTTCCCTTTTCCCAACATCCTAGAAAACCAGAACATGACTTAACACGTTTAATTGAAATATCTCTCAATCTTTTTTATTGCAGAACTTTTCGTTTTTAGCCCAGTCCTAGGTAGGGTTGGACTATATTGTGGATTTTCTTGGCTTTTTAGACTATGAATCAGTCCTGTTTGTTCGCAAACCACAGACTCCCATGAAAAGATACTATATTTAGCGCCTATACACTCACAAGATAGAGTGGGTGAATCCACACTTTCAGTAAATATAAAAAGCATTGGAACATTATTGACTGATTACCATGAGCCATATTTTTGTTTCAAAATCTTCACTTGGTAGTTGAGGGTAGGCAAGAAGCAAATTGATTACTTGTGTATAAGATATGACTAGAGAAAAAGGAAAGTAGTAAAACTCTCCTCAAATAAAATAACATAACGTGATCAAATTATAGGTACTCCCTATAAGCACCCTAGAGGGAGTTTCGGATTGTGTGTGTGTGTGTGTGTGTGTGTGTGTGTGTGTGTGTGTGTTCAGTAGTCTTTCAACTACTTAAGTCATTTTTTAAAAGGTAAAAGGATCTTAATTTTTAGAGTAAATAAACTAGGCATTTTATTTTAACTAAGTATGTCTTACATAACAAATGTGCTCATATTAAATAGGTGCACTCTTAACTGTAAATGCAGTATAGAGAAGCTTTTTTAATGCAATAAAATATATCCAAATGTTGATGAAAAGTCTCTAACTCTTTTCAGACATATTTACAAGAGAAAAAAAAGTGTTGGTGATAAAGTATTACTCGATGGTCTAGGTATTCTCAAATTGCTAGAATCTTTTCTGTATATTATATCTGCCAATGAAAATATTTGGTTTCACATCTACCTGATAATCTGAATGAGCGAACACCTACGCATTAAGGGGACATATCAAACTCCTCTATACACCTCAGCTTTAAAAGGCACGTGCTACTGTCTCCAGATGTTCAGCATCACACCATGCAAATTCACCATATGCTATTCTTTCAAAGAAGACCATAGAAGGAAAATGGTTGGTAGGACCTACATTTCATTTGACTCTAAGTCTTCTCAGCTGTAGCTGTATTATAGAAGTAAGCAATAAATTTTTCAAATACTAGTAGCTGCTTAGTCAGGGAGTGGTTACAAAGCATTAAATCTTCACTTTTTCATCCCTCTTTAGAATATTCCTCCCCCCTCCTTTTTAAAGATGATTTGCCTTTGAGAATTTTTGCTGTTTTCCTCTTATACTTGATTATGGACAGAGGTAAAAAGGTAAAGAAAAAATGCTAGCTAAAATGTCTTAAAGTCAAGTAAAGGGATGACATTTAGAGCAAGAAAAATGAGTTTTAACTCCTACTCCCAACCACTTGGCCTGTAAGAGACAAGAATCAATGAGGTGATAAAAGATGGAGGAGCATTCAAGTTCTCCTGCCAAAGGAACTGGATTTCAATTTAGATTCTCGGGCTGGGTGAAAACTTTTCTGTCACCTGTACTACAGTATTCTTTCACTTTCATATTCTTTCCCCTTCTATGTCTCCACTAGTGTCCTGTGTTACTGTGTTAAGCATTACAACTGGGGAAGCCAAATAAATAAATAAAATGAAAAGCTTCATTTTAAACATTCTTGTATTTACTTAGTTGAAAACAAATTCTCACATTGAAATTTCTGAAAATCTGAAAGACTGAAACCTTTATTTTTAAACAAATACTGCAGAAGTACCAGAGATTGGTTAGCACAAGAATATCATTCCTCTATTTACTGAACATATATTTAATAAACACCTATGAGGGCAGGCACTGTATTAGGTCCCAGGGATACCACAGTGAAGAAAATTGGTAACTGTGTTTTTGTGTCTAATGAGCCAATAACAGTGTTTTACCACTAAGAAAAATATGCTGATGGTGGTGATGATGATGATAATAATGATGATAAATCTGAAGCCCAAAGAAGAAATATTTATTAATTAAATTATAGGCATTAACAAGAGTATGAGTAAAAGGATACAGATTATTAGGCTATGTTTATAGCCAATTCTTACATGAATTGTTAAAGAAAAGAGGAGGAAGATGGTTTAAGGAAAAAAGTAAAATTTGTTGTAGCAAAAAGAAACAATTGAAATTTTTTAGGCCAGTGAAAATTTTAATGAGCCAAAATTTTTTAAAAAATTAACACCTTCTTATGTCAGTGGGGAAAACAGAGATTAATAAATGTCTTTGAAGTTGTAGGTACTTCTAAAAAAATTATATATATACTGCTGAATACGTGAACAGAATCTGGAATGAAGATGAGCAACTGTCTCTTTCTCCTTCTGAAGAATATACCAAGCAGCAAGGAGAATTAAATGAACAATCAAACAAACAAATGCAAATTCTATTTTCAGTAAAATCGAGAGATAAATAATCTGTAGTTTTCCAAATGTGTTTACAAGATGGTAAAACTGCTGAGATTAACCAGAAGTCGCAGAAGAGAAAGAAGAGCAGATAGTGGGCCCAATGATATATAATCTTAGAAAACATTGATAAAAATATGATTCTTGAAAGTGAGAGTTTCACTGTGAAATGCAAAAGCCCTTTCCCTTGGCTGCAACACTGACTTCAGGAACTGAAACTAGGCTCTAGCTGCAAAGGGGGAAAGAAAGAAGCATTGCAAATGTAAAGAGGACTCAGTTGTGGATAACCTCACAAAACTCAAGAAAAAATATTTCCTGCAGGCAAATTGATCTTCTTAATTTACAAATCATATACATCTTATTTTCAGCAATCAATGTGAAAACTGACTTGAGTAGAGCTGGTGACAAAAGCCCTCTTGGATATGTCCTGTCTGAAGTAATGGATGGCTACATAAAAATGGAAGAGTGATATTTGCAAAAAGCAGTCTATTTCTTTATTTTTAACAGCAGAGAAGACTGAAACTTTGTAAATCCTAGATGGCTATTCCTCCCTCTCCTTTTCTCAGAAATCTAGATGAGAAAAAATTAACTTGGTTAATTATGGGTAATAAAAGAAGAGCAGGTACAGTATCAATACAAAAATAATATGGAAAAAGAGGAGCAGAAAAATGTACCAATGGTTGAAGAACACACATTAGAACAATGTTGCCATGGAGAAGCTGAAAAATTTGTCCCAACATTCTGCTATGAATTTTCATAAGGGCACAATGAAGGAATTGCATCTATGAATGAGAACTATAAGGCACAAATGCAAGAATTTGGGATGGTTTATGAAACAATAGAGTCTGATGACCCAAAGCTGGCAAAACTCAGGAAAGAAATGGAAGAAAAATTAAAACCATCATGAGTAAAGAATGAATATAGAAGAATTATAAGTTAAAATATACACTGAGGTAAACACAATAAGAGAACAAGGGCAGAAATGAGAAAAGCTAGCAAAATGAGGTGGAAATAGATAAACAGGAATAGAGAACATGAAAGATGGAAAAGATAGGCAAATGTAATCTAACACATACATAATTAGAGACCCTAAAGAAGAAAAAAATTGAAAAGAATAAGTATTTAAATATAATTTTTAATATTAAAGAAAAGCATTCTTGAAATGAAAGAAGACTTGAAATTTTAATTTTAAAATACGTAATAATTACTAGGTAAAACTGTCCCAGAATAATCACCACCCAAGATGTATTTAAGTACAGTAACTAGAATTTAAATATAATAATCTTTTGGGCATGCAGGCAAAACAATCAGTGACTTAACAAGGAAAATACTGAGTCTGGCCTCAGAATCCCTCGCTACAATATTCATAGCAGAATGGAGTCAGTCATTCAACATCAGTGGAAGAAAGTCCAAAAGATACTAAAGAAAATAGTCAGAGCTAAGGGTTTTTTTTTAAATTCTAAAACAATTTTGAACATGTGAGAACTAAGGGAATATTATTCTCGTGATTCTATCTTCAGGAAATCACTAGAATAGAAAATGGAATTTAGCTTTCTAAGAGATAAGTGGAACAGACGTTCTGGATCAAAGAGAGATTGTAAACATTGAATGTATATAACTGTTCATCTAAAATGTGAGGATATGAGAATTAGAGCAAAATAATAAAATATAAATCTTATAGACTGTGGAAATATAAAAATTATATAAACAAAATTTGTATGAGAAAAGCAAAAGAAGATAGGATATAA